GGAGGCCCCCAAGAGGACCCCAAACGACCCAAAGGGGCCCCCCCCGAGGCACCCAATACGCCGAACAAATCCTCAGGACGACCCTCTAGTCGCCTGGGCGTCGTTTCTGGATGGGCTGGTGGGGATACGCGAAGCGTTTCGGATTTCCAAGGGGCAAGATTTCTTGGGAGTTTTCCCAGGAGATTATTTGGGAGATGTCCGAGGGGCAAGATCTGGTTTGAGATATTTTTGAGTTGTATGGGGCGTCCAAGATTTGTTCCCAACCATCCTGCGGTGATGGGTTCTCGTTTTGAGGAGACAGCGCCCCGCGTCACCTCACCTCCCGCTGCCTTTTTCTCCATCCCTGCTGCTCCCTCACCCCTCCTCCCCCTCTCCTTGCCTTTGCTCTCCGGATGTCCATCATTTCGGCACACCCCTCGCGCGTTTTCGTGGCCTCATAAGGAGCTCCACCGAAGGCTCCAGTGGCACAGGCCGCATGCGTCAACGCCACCCAGGAAAACGCTTCGTGGCCCCGTAGGGAGCTCCACCGAGGGCTCCACTGGCAGGGTCCGAATGCGTCAACGCGACCCAGGACAGCGTCTCGTGGCCCCATACGGAGATCCAACGAAGGCTCCAGTGGCACAGTCTGCATGCGCCAACGCCACCTGGGACAGCGTTTCGTGGCCCCATAGGGAGCTCCACCGAAGGCTCTGGTGGCACAGGCCGCATGCGTCAAGGCCACCCAGGACAGCGTTTCGTGGCCCCATGGGGAGCTCTTCCGAAAGCTTCAGTGGCACAGCATGCGTCAACGCCACCCAGGACAGCGTTTCGTGGCCCCATAGGGAGCTCCACCGAAGGCTCCAGTGGCATGGTCCGCGTGCGTCAACGCCACCCAGGACAGCGTTTTGTGGCCCCATGGGGAGCTCCACCGAAAGCTCCAGTGGCACTGGCCGCATGGTCCCATAAGGAGCTCCACCGAAGGCTCCAGTGGCAGGGTCCGCATGCGTCAACGCTACCCGTGACAACGTTTTCGTGTCCCCATAGGGAGCTCCACCGAAGGCTCCAGTGGCACAGTCCGCATGCATCAACGCCACCCAGGACAGCGCTTCGTGGCCCCATCGGGAGCTCCACCGAAGGCTCCAGTGGCAGGGTCCCCATGCGTCAACGCTACCCATGACAACGTTTCGTGGGCCCATAAGGAGCTCTACCGACGGCTCCAGTGGCACAGTTCGCGTGCGTCAACGCCATCCAGGACAGCGCTTCGGACAGCGTTTCGTGGCCCCACACGGATCCCGACCGAAGGCCCCAGTGGCACCGTTCGCATGCGTCCCTTCCACCCAGGACTGTGTTTCGTGGCCCCATAGGGAGCTCCACCGATTGTCTCAGTGGCGCCGCTCGCGTGCGCCAGCTCTACCCAGGGCAGCGTTTCGTGGCCCCATAGGGAGCTCCACCGAAATCGGCAGTGGCGCAGTTCGCATGTGTCTCCCCCACCCATGGCAGCGTTTCGTGACGCCATAAGGAGCTCCACCGAAGGCCCCAGTGGCACCGTTCGCATGCGTCTCCCCCACCCAGGACAGTGTCTCGTGGCCCCATAAGGAGCTTCACCGAAGGCCCCTGTGGCGGTGTCCACATGCGTCCGCGCCACCGATTTCGGCGTACCCTCGCACGCTTCGTGGCCCCATAGGGAGCTTCACCGAAAGCGGTACCCACAATGCGGCACCCGCAGATGCATATGATGGGGTCCTTCGTAAGTCTATGTTTTATATGGGGGAGAAAATCCAAAGGGATATGAGCATTTGGAGGAGGAGGTCGAGGAGGAGGAGGAGGAAAAAGAGGAGGAGGAGGTGGAGGAGGAGGAGGAAGAGGAGGAGGAGGAGGAGGAGGAGGAGGAGGAGGAAAAGTCATGATGATGATGGTGATTCATGGTGACGATGACGCTGGTGAGGAGGAAGAGGTGGAGGTGAAGGAGGAGGAGGAGGAGGAGGAGGTATGAGTAGCAGGAGAAGGGAGAAGGAGGAGGAGGAGGAAGAGCACCAAAGTGATTCGGGTATGTGTCATAGATGCTGCAATGCACCCTCCTGTCCCAAGTCCTGTCCTCATGATTCTCTACAAGCCCTCGTTTTGTTTCCAAGAAGTCAGAGCATGAATTACCTACCCCGCTTTCGCTTCCAGGCAAAACCAAGTCATACCACGCGTCTCCTCGTCAAGTGGCCTGACCAGTACAGGCCGCAATGTGGCATCGTTTGGTATCTCTTGGAAGCGAGGGTGGTCAAAAGCGAGGTAGGTTTGTTTTCCCCCGAAGAAGTGCCTCTTTGAAATGCGACCGTTCCATGGGCCTGCCATTCCGGCGAGAGCTCCGTCGTGAAGAGGGACATGCCGTGCATCCTCCTTGCGCATTCTCAGGCATGCGACCAGGCATGCTCGTAAAATCCATTGTCGGAGGTGGATAGACCTCCTACCCTGACACGTCGATTAGTGAATTGTCCGTTTTCGGTTCTCGAGAGAGCGCCGCAGCCGTTATTTTCCAGGCTTGCGCCCGCCAGGTTTGGGCCCGAGGTCGTTTTCACTAAACCACGTTTTACTAAAGGGAGGTCTGTCCATCCCCGACATTGAGGTGCCCAGCGGGAGCACCGTTTTTAGCAAGGAGCCGCCCCCCCTATACGTGCAAGTGTTGCGCAAGCTTGCACTGCCGGCGGCTCCATATGAGAAATCCTTCGCGACAGCCCAACTTTGAAAAGGAGACGCCGTCAGTCCGCGCAGCTGATCCACACATTCAAACATGTGGCCGTTGAACTTGAGGAAATCCCAGGCGGGATCTCAATCCTGATACGGGGTCGCTTTCCATCCGTGTAGTTGTGGTACAATTTCCCGAACGCGCTAAAATCATCAAGGGAGTTTCAGGCCATAACCTATCTGGAAAGGGACCAGCCCCCATCCAGAGAACCACTGTCTAGTTTTTGAGGCGCTGTGTCTCTCCGCAAACGGTGCTTGTACTTTGAGGTGTAATCCCGAGGCTCTGCCTCCTCCTGGCCTTGCCGTGAGGCCTCTCCTTCTGTCCCCCCCTCTTTGTTAATTCAAGCCTCGCGCGGCCCGCTTGGCTTCGACCGGAAGAGCTGCGCTCTCGACCCGCGAATCAAAAGAAGAGCCTCCCTGCGGGGTCCGCCGAGGCCGCGTCGTGCTGCCTTCCGTGGGCGCCTCGTGGGCGCCCCGTGCGCTGGGAGGGAGGGGATTCCGCGGAGGCTCTGCCGCGCGGCCGCCCGTGGGAAAGGGACCAGCCCCAGTCCAGAGAACCACTGTCCAGCTTATGAGGCGCCGTGTCTCTCCGCAAACGGTGCTTGTGTACTTTGAGGTTTGATCCCGAGGCTCTGCCTCCTCCTGGCCTTGCCGTGAGGCCTCTCCTTCTGTCCCCCCCCTCTTCGTTAATTCAAGCCTCGCGCGGCCCGCCTAGCTTCAACCGGAAGAGCTGCGCTCTCGACCCGCGAATCAAAAGAAGAGCCTCCCGCGTCATGCTGCCGCCCTCGGGCGCCTCGTGGGCGCCCCGTGAGGAGGAGGAGGAGGAGGAGGAGGAGGAGGAGGAGGAGGAGGAGGAGGGAGGAGGAGGAGGAGGAGGTAGGAGGAGGAGGGAGGAGGAGGAGGGAGGAGGAGGAGGGAGGAGGGGTTCCGCAGAGGAGGAGGAGGAGAAGGAGGAGGAGGAGGAGGAGGAGGAGGAGGAGGAGGAGGAGGAGGGGTTCCGCAGAGACTCTGCCGCGCGGCCGCCCGTGGGCGCCTCGTGGGCGCCCCTCTGTGCGCCGGCAGGGCACGCCGAGGTCTCGCCGCGTCCCCGCCGCTTGCGTTGCTCCGCATGCTCTGCATCGCGTAGCTTAAAACACACAGCTCAGAGCCCCGAATCATCAGGGGTAGCTCGGGTCAGGGCTAACTCGGGTTCGTTTTTCGGGAACCCAAACCCGAGTTATCCCGGACCCGAGTTACCCCGGACAACTCGGGCGCCCAGAGCCCCGAATCATCAGGGGTAACTCGGGTCAGGGCTAACTCGGGTTCGTTTTTCGGGAACCCAAACCCGAGTTATCCCGGACCCGAATTACCCCGGATAACGCGGGCGTCCAGAGCCCCGAATCATCAGGGGTAACTCGGGTCAGGGCTAAGTCGGGTTCGTTTTTCGGGAACCCAAACCCGAGTTACCCTGGACCCGAGTTACCCCGGATAACTCGGGCGTCCAAATAGCTCATACAGTCAAAAACCCTCATAAGGACGCGCGACTTTGCTCAGGGTACCCTTGCGTCCTTGCTCCTCCCTGCTCTTGCGGCTCGTCCTTGGCCTCTTTCGCTTGCCCGCTTACGGGGTTTTCGTCGTCCGCCGCCCCAGAAATCCCAACTTCGGCTCCCAAGCGTCTTGCGTCCTTACCGCGCGTCCTTGTTAGGTTTTTGACTGTAACACATAGGCTGCACAACATGACTTGCACCGTATAGCTCACACCACACAGATGGCACCACACGTAGAGTGCGCCACGAGGCTGGCGCCTCACAGCTCACACCAGGTAGACCACACCTCATACATCACGCAGCGTTGCTTTCGCAGTCACGGTGCAACATCTCACTGTTTGGGGTCCACGCTGGCAAACATTTGAGAACATATCTTGCGAACATCTCAGTCGGAACATCTAGCTGGCCTTTACCTGTGTACACGTCGCAAGCTTCTGGTACGCATGTGCGCGGCGCTAAGCCATGAGGCCCATTTCGAAAAGGACATGGCCTCCGTCCGTATTATTGCTGTAAATCTTTAGGACGAATTTGCGCGGCGCTGCGGCGAGGTTCCCAGTTTGACAAGGACCCGGCATCCTTCCGTGTGATTGCTGGCAGTTTCCAACCCTGGGGTCGTAGACTGCATAAAAAAATAGTCTCAAGTGACGCGCCCAGTCCAGCCTACTGACACATCTGGTGTGTGCGACACGGAGGAACATGAACGGAGGAGGAGGAGAAGGAGGAGGACGAGGACGGGGAGGAACTTGAGCTGGGGTAGGAGGAGGGGGGGGGCTGGCGGGCTACAACGAGCGCATCTCTGAGATACCGCGTATTGGCTGTGTAGGCCTTCGCTTGCTCAGTGCGCCCTGACTGTCTCACCGCTTCTCCTCCTTCCATTCCCCCTCCTCATCCTCCTCCTCTTCTCTCACTTTCCTTGCTTCCTCTCTGTCTGTGCTCTGCTTGTCCAGCTCCTCCTCCTCCTCCTCCTCCTTCTCCGCCCCTTCTCTCCTCCTCACCCCCTCCCTCTCTGCCTCTCGCTCCCGTCCTTTTCTGCCCGACCCCCTTCCTCGCAATCCTCCCCTCGGCCCTGCGTATGGCGTAGGGGGCAGTGTCACCGAGGCTGGCCCGTTGGACAGCTTCCCATGGGGCCACCGTGTGAGGGGTGCGCCAAATGGGGCGGCGCCGCCGTGCGAATTTTGCCACTGGGGCCTTCGGTGGAGTTCCCCATGGGGCCACGAAGCGCGTGAGGGGTGCGCCAAAATGGGGCGGCGCCACCATGCGACCTTTGCCACTGGGGCCTTTGGGGCCTTCTGTGGAGCTCCCTATGAAGCCACGAACCGTATGAGGGCTGCGCCAAAATGGGGCGGCGCCGCCATGCGAACTTTGCCACTGGCATTCGGTGGAGCTCCCCGTGGGGCCACGAACAGTGTAAGAGGTGCGCCAAATGGGGCGGCGCCGCCATGCGAACCCTGCCACTGGGGCCTTCGGTTGAGCTTCCTACGGGGCCACGAAACGTGTGAGGGCTGCGCCCAAATGGGGCGGCGCCGCCATGTGCACTTTGCCACTGGGGCATTCGGTGGAGCTCCCCCACGGGGCCACGAAGCGGGCGAGGGGTGCGCGGAGCGCAGAGGCATGCGGAGCGCAGAGGCAGGGACGGGAGGCTCGCTCGCTCCACGTCGGCATCGGAGAGCTCCGCACTCGTCGGCATACACAGGGCAAGAGAAAGAGAGAGAGAGAGAGAGCCGGCGGGGCCTGGGCGAGGAAGCCGGCTCCGCGCCCGCCCGGCCTGTTCTTGCCCTCGGGCCGCCCGCTCCCCAGGGGCGGGGATCGATGCACGATGGTCCCTGCCTTCCTCGGAGCCTCGGCGCGCTCTGCACGCAGGCGCGGCGCGCGTGCGCGGCTGGCCGCGCTGCTGGCCAGCCGATCTCAGGAGGAAAAGAAACACAGACACAAGTAATCGTCGATTCCGCAGAAAATATGGGGGAAATATGGGCGTTGGGCGGGAAGACAAAAACCCAGAACATATTGGAAAATTACCTAACAGCGAAGACTGATAGGTTTCTAATGGGCTAAAAAGAGAGCAGCAGATGACTCCACAGGGGGGTTTGGGCGGGTGCCGGACAGGGTGCCGCAGAAGTCGTTTTAAGCCAACAGTCACACACTTCGTGCTCTTCGAGTTCCCAGAACTCCATTCCCGGGCCACATTCTGAATGCCCGGAGCCAACTGTAGGCCACTTCGTGCTCTTCGACTTCCCAGAACTCCATTCCCGGGCCACATTTTGAATGCCCGGAGCCAACTGTAGGCCACTTCGTGGTCTTCGAGTTCCCAGAACTCCATTCCCGGGCCACATTTTGAATGCCCGGAGCCAACTGTAGGCCAACTTCGTGCTCTTCGAGTTCCCAGAACTCCATTCCCGGGCACATTTTGAATGCCCGGAGCCAACTGTAGGCCACTTCGTGTTCTTCGAGTTCCCAGAACTCCATTCCCTGGGCCACATTTTGAATGCTGAGGCAGGCTGATGCTGCGGTCGAGGCAGGCTGAGGCTGAGGCAGGCTGAGGCTGAGGCCGAGGCTGAAGGCAGACTGAGGCTGAGGCTGAAGCAGGCTGAGGCGAGGCTGAGGCAGGCTGAGGCTGAGGCTGAGGCAGGCTGATGCTGAGGCAGGCTGAGGCTGAGGCTGAGGCTGATGCAGGCTGAGGCTGAGGCAGGCTGAGGCTGAGGCCGAGGCTGAAGGCAGACTGAGGCTGAGGCTGAAGCAGGCTGAGGCTGAGGCTGAGGCAGGCTGAGGCTGAGGCAGGCTGAGGCTGAGGCTGAGGCAGGCTGAGGTTGAGGCTGTGACTGCGACTGCCGTTGCCGCTGCGACTGTCATCGCGAATGCGACTACGACTGCGAGAACAGCAGAATTCTACAACTGGATTTTCATCTGAATCTTAAGGGGAATGCTTTCAGATATGCTTCTACACATCGCTGTTAGGTTGCTTTGCCGGGATAATATGGGGAATCTTTTTATTTGTGTGTATTTATTTGTGTGTCCTTGGGCCCCTTCATGATCGGAGGGCAGGGGGAGGGGAGCGGGAGCAAGCGGGGGCGGGGAAGAGGAGGGACTTCGGCGTCCAGGTCGCGGCCTGCTCCTCGGGAGAGCCGAGGAGCAGGTCGGCCACGGCCTGTGCCGCCTCGGCATCCTCGAAGCACCTCGTGAGTGGGGCGGAAGCAGCGCATCCGTGGCACGGTCGAGCACTGTGCTCTCCTCGGTCTCAGAGTCGGAGTCAAAACACCTCTCTTTTTCGGGATCGCTCCTGCGGCGACCCCGAGACACAGAACCCGCAAAGTCAGGCGCGGGGACCGCTTCCTCCGAGGCAAAGCGGCCCAAGGACACAAAGACATCGGCCAACGAATTTCTGACCTCCTCGAGGTCTGGTGGATACTCCGCAACACGTCATCAACGGAGGAGGGAGGCTCGACCGAGGGAAGGAGGGACTGGGCACTATCTACTATGGCCGTGGCTAGTGCCTTGCACAGGCCAGCAGGGTATGTCCTCTTGCTGGCCGTTGGAAACTGGCCAGCCTGATTGTTTCCGAGAAGGACATTGTGGGCCTGGCGCCCATGAGAGCACTTCCCTTCACCAGGGGTGTCCCTCAGCAAGGGGGGTAAAGCAGCCATTCTGACAGACAGGATGGTGGTGGGGGCACGGCCGACAGCACTAGGATCTACCTCTGGACCCTGATGATCGCACTCATCGAACGTACTGAGCGCCGAACAAGGCGCTGCAGCTAGGGCCTGCAGAGGCACCCAACGAAGGGAAATCGGGGCCTGCGGGGCCCACGTTGGGGACGCGGGGTGCTCTAGCCAACCTCCCGTGCCAGCCCTCAGATGTTCTGCCAGAAGCCGAACCAGAGAATGCAACAGTTGAGAACCGATACGTAACCGCTCCGACTGCTTCTGAGACACCCCAGGAATTCCCCAAACATGTTCTGTACTCCTGAGTGAGGGGGGGGCCCTCATGCCATCGAGACGCTGACCAAGCGTTGCATGGAGGCCCTCCCCGTATTGACAACTCGGCGGCGTCTGATGTGCTCGATCCACTCGAGCAACGTGTCTTCGCGTGTAAGATCTCCTCTGACTGGGTCGATCGCTATGTCTATGCTCAATAGTATGACCTCAACGGTGGACTGCGAGACTGCATGTCCTACCTGTCACCGAACATCACCTGCGCGGCGCTGGCCGCAGTAAAGATTAAGGCCTTCGAGTTCGAATCGGCACCGACTCCTAGGCGAACGACACGTACTCACACGGATTGAACACGTAGAACGGAACTTCCCGCGCGAGGGCCTGCACGGGGGGCTTACCGGAGAATATGTTAATGTACTCTTCTATGTTGCCGTCGGGTATGGCGGGGTCGGTTTTGAGAAGTATTTGAATGGCTTCTCGATGGGATAGAGACCAAGCTAGATCATGCACGAGTTGGTGCCGAACGATTCCTGGCTCTCTAGCTACAGGTAGCTCCGTGTGCCATCGGCCTTGACTAGTCGCTCGTTGCGCTTGGAGCCTAACCTCCTCCTCGCACTGAAGCTGCTTGGCTTCTGCAACTGAACACTGCGGCTCTGCAATAATGAGGCCAATCGCACACTTCAAAGAGTCGAACGCAAGATGGGCCGTGAGTGCTGACCGATGGGCAAACTGCTGAAAACATGTGTTGCATCGAAGACTCGACCCCTGGTAATTCCGAATGAGGGTGACCTTGGAATGATGAACCCGACTGATGTGCGTCCGAAGCCCTCGAACTCGAGAAAAGGTAAGGCTACACCACAGACATCTGCATACTTTGGCATCCTCAGACTCTTGCACTCGTAGGCGATGACGCTTGTCATCCCAGGCGGGTGGTACACCTGCTGACTCGAGAATTCGGGGCCCTTTTTGGGAAGCCCCCGCGCCCTCTTAGAAGGCCCCTTGTGCGCTGCCGAGCGAGGAGGAGGAGGAGGAGGAGGAGGAGGAGGAGGAGGAGGAGGAGGAGGAGGAGGTGTGCCTTCTTCAGGAGGGTCGGACCGACCTGCATCGGTCAGGTCAGCCAGTTCGCTCCTTCTCTTTCAGCCCCAGACTTTCGGGTTCAGGGCGCTCGTCAACAAAAAACTCCCCTATCCCCCTCCCTCCCTCCCTCCCTGCCCCACCTCGCTCCCTGCCCCCCCTCCCTCCCTAACTCCCTCCTTGTTCCCCCCCCCACCCCCACTCCCTCCCTCTTTCCCTCCCTTCCTCCCTGCCCTCCCTCCCTTACTCCCTCCCTCCCCATCTCCCTGCCAACTCCCTCCCTGCCCCCCCCCTCCCTCCCTCCCATCCTCCCTGTCCTGGGTCTCCTGGGGCCTCCTGGGACCTTTTGGGGCTGGGGGTCCTGGGACCTCCTGGGGCCTCCCGGGGCCTCCCGGGGCCTCCTGGGGCCCCCCTGGGGCTTCCTGGGGCCCCTCCTGGGGCCCTTCCTGGGGCCTCCCAGGGCGAGGCCTTTTGGGGCCTCCTTGGGCCCTGTCCTCCTCCTCGCCCCTCCCGCTCCCGCTCCTCCCGCTCCTCCCGCTCCTCCCGCTCCTCCCGCTCCTCCCGCTCCTCCCGCTCCTCCCGCTCCTCCCGCTCCTCCCGCTCCTCCCGCTCCTCCCGCTCCTCCCCCTCCCGCTCCCGCTCCCGCTCCGCCCGCTCCCTGCTCCTCCCTGCCCCCGCTCCTCCCGCTCCTCCCCCCGCGGTTTCGCGGGGCGGCGCGCCGTGGCGGGGCGCGAGGCGGGCGCTGCTTGAGCGTCCTCGGGTCGGCATCGGCGGCGAGCGAGGGGGGGGAGGTGCGAACCTCGAGCGCCGCTCCTCGGCGGCTTTCCGCCCTCGGGATGTGTTCCAGCGGCCGCGCCTCGCCGATGGCGCTCCGGGGGGTGCTCGGATCGTCCCGAGCGCCCCGAGCTGGAGCACATACACTGCCAGTGGCGGTCTGGTTTTCAGTGCCAGGACTTCTTGAGGGTGGGGGACGACGTCGGGGTGGTGCGGTGTATATTTGTTTCTCCCGTTTCCCGGGGGCGCGACGAAACATGCATAGACCAGGGTCTCGTATACACCAGGATCCGCTTTCCTGTTTGTGAATTTCCGTGCAGGGCCAGAACAAAAAGCTTCGGTGTATCGAGATCGGTTCCCTAGATGAGGCCCTCTCAGAAGGCGGCGGGACTTCTCAGCTGGGAGTGCTTAGAGCACTTCTCAGAAGGTGGGGGGGACTTCCGAGCCTTCTGAGAAAGCCTTCTCCTTCTTATCACTTCCCCTTCAGGCTCGCTGCCGACACCATGCACCCCGTCCCTTTGCCGGGCTCCCGCGGCTTCCTGCTTTGCGCCGCCATTTGTTACCGCCAGGGCAGTTGTCCATTCTACACACTGTGCAGAGCTGTTCCGATGTGAGATGGAGAAGGGCTCGTGCAGGGTGCTGGCCAGGCGGGAATGCAAGAGGAGGAGGAGGAGGAGGAGGAGGAGGAGGAGGAGGAGGAGGAGGAGGAGGAGGAGGAGGAGGAGGAGGAGGAGGAGGCGGAGGAGGAGGAGGAGGAGGAGGAGGAGCTGGAGCTGGAGGAGGAGGAGAAGGAGGAGGAGGTGGGGGAGGAGGAGGAGGAGGGGGAGGGGAATGGGAGGGGAAGGGGGAGGAGGAGGAGGAGGAGGAGGAGGAGGAGGAGGAGGAGCAGTTTTTTTTCCTCCGCGGGGCCATTGACCTCTGAGGATTTGGGAGCAGCATCGAGGGGCTACTGCTCCGCCTGGTTCCCTACCTTGGGTATCAAGTGACCAGGGACAGACCTGGGCCGTGACCCTCGCGAGTTCCGAGTAAACTCCCTGAGGGATCTGCTTCCAGGCATATCGAGCACCCGCACCTGTGTGGGGGAGCCAACTCAAAGACGTGCCAGGTTGCGCACCATCCCATGGCCCGAGTAGGCCTTGCACCTCAGACAAACCACGAGGGATGCGCCATCGGAGCACTCCAATGAAATAACTCTGTGCTGGAGCCTGGCCAAAGCTTCGGGGTCCAGCTTATGCAAACCCCGACAGTGACCAGACGGTGGAACACCCACGGAGCGGGAGACCTTACAACAGCCATCACAACGCCAGAATCTTGAGAGACGCATCCAGCGGTGAGGGACAAAGTCGGCGCGGGGCGCCGCAGGAGGTTTCACACGCACAACTTCCTCTCCTAGCCGCAAAGCCGGCCACAGCGGCAGCAACTTAGCCGCCAAGACACCTACGGCTCTGGAGACGGCAGTATTCGGATCCATTTCTTGCACATCGAGCGAATCAGGCTGGGGATGCGACAGCGCTGCCACCGTTACAGAAGCATCTACAAGGTTGTTCCCCAGCCTTTTGAATTTACCATCAGGGTGAGTGGACGCATCCACGTCCGAGTGAACCTTAACCTTTACCACGTCCAAAATAGAAAGGTTCTGCCGAATAAATTGCGTACAGCCCGCATACATACGTTTATGAGAAATATGGTTCTCCCAAGACATCTTCACATGCTCGCACACATTTAAACACTCACTGAAAACAATATACTTGCCACTAAGATGTCGAGCTGCGGTTATGAAAGCGTGAAACTCTGCGCTCTGAGGGGTTTGGAGATAGGCCAGACGGGACCCCTCATGCGAATCACCTCCTCAAGGGTTCTTCTATTCATCGAAGTAGCAGCCCAGCCAGTTCTAGACATCTCGGGGATGACATGGATGAAGCACGATCCGTCCATAAAGATTTCGCCCGAAAACTCGGATTCAAAATCCAGGTGCTCGAAACCAGGGCATAACTCAGTAACCACACCGTCGAAATATAGGGGCTTGGGAAGCTTTCCACCTGGATGTTCGAAGATTCCAAGGGAAGCCAGAACGTCTTCCGCTCTCTCAGCCCATTCACGCACCTTTGTTGGAATCATGGAGACGCGCGCCTTCTCGCAGGCAGAACATGTCCATAACCTGTGCCTAAGTGTGTCATCAGCTTCACTGCAGAATATCAATCGAAACCTGATATCCTAACCCACGAGCGCGAGAGCGGGTGGGTGTAGATCGCATGGCAGAACACCGACCGATTGCAACCCTTTTCGAAGGGGGTCATCTTCTTACTGCGGATCCAATGCGTATTACCGACAACAAGCACGACCAATGTTAAAACTGGCTCCAAGATCCCGTTCGAGCGACTTCAAAACCGCTCGTCTCGAAAGGGACCGGTCCATGGCAGCAGGAACTTCGGTCATGTGAGTGTCGATACCGCGATCGTTTCGCAAGACCGTGAACGAGGGCACGGTTCACGACATTCTCCCAAGAGATCTCCTCATCGCACTGATCGGCCCCGAGGCGGACCTCCACAAACGCGAACTTCTGGAACAAGCAGCGTTCCACGCCGACCGAAGCGTGGCGAAGGGATTCGAGAAGTGATATACAGTGGGGGCGCGTGCCAAGAAACCAGTAGGATTTTGCCAGGGTGCCCTGGGTTTCTTGGATTTTGCTGTGCTCCCGATCAGATCTGGACGATTTTCGATCGACACATGTGGATTTTCACTGAACAACTCGCGTATTTCAGGGGTGGGTTTCTTGCGGAGGTTTCTTGTGGCCGAGCCCCCACTTTAGACGATGATGTGCCACCCAGACTCCCTTGGCCCATCTCGCGATCGGAGCGACCGCCGCACCCCGCGCGGGGCCACCGCGGCAGAGCGTGAGCGCCGTCGGGCTCTTGCCCTGCGCCGACCGCCTCCAGGCCTTACCGTCGGGGCCCTGGAGAAGGGACCCTTTTCGTTTGGGGAGGGGCTCGGTGTTCCTTAGTTGCTTCACAGTGCTCCTTGGGTTTTCCTGAGGTTTTCCATAGAACGTCGGAGTTTACTATATGGGAAAAAGGGGTCTCGTTCCTTATCTATCGTTCCTTAGGTCAACGCCCCGACTGTACAGTCGGGGCCCTGGAGAAGGAACCCTTTTCGTTGGGGAGGGGCTCGGTGTTCCTTGATTGTTTCACAGCCTGTCTTAGGTTTTTCCTTGGGTTTTCGATGTGGAATCGAAGCCTAACTTATGGAAGATAGGGGCCTCGTTTCTTATTTTGGGTTCCTTAGGTCAGCGCCCCGACTGTACCTGCAAGTAGTCGCAGCTGCACGTGTTCAAAATCCGAAGTGCCGAACATATCGCAACCGTGAGTGACTCCTGGGAGGGGGCCAGCAGAAAATAATTCTTGCGCCGCTTCCCACCACTAGTGGCTCTTGACCTAACGTGGCGCTTCGTCCTATAGGAGGCCCTCTGGAGCCTGCTCTTCCTCTTAGCCGACCGACCCTTGCACCTGCGAGCGCGCCCCGCAGTGTCATCGACTCCGAGGTTGGCGGTGGGCGACGAGTCGACCGCAGGGCCCGCGAGACCGCCCAACGCCTTAGAAAGGCTTTTCGAAAGCGCGGCTAGAGCGCACCAGGGAGAGTGTCTCGGGGCTGGTTTGAGCCCTGGCCCTATCCACAAAGGCGGCGTGAAGAGCGCGCGCCGCAGGGGGGATGTGCGACGTGGTATATCTGGACGTGCCAACGGCCGACAGCCCTGAGTCACCACTATACATTTTTAATTGAATCAGTCGTGGAAGCCTCACCGAATCCAACGCAGGAGTGGAGTTTGCGCGAATGAGAGTGGTGACAGCAGAACACCCAGCAATGGCGCCACCCCTGGCCCAGGAAGGGCCGTCAATGAAGCCTCCATGAGAGAGAAGCCGAGCCTGCGAGTACAAAGTAATGCGCAGATAAACTAAGCCGAGAGGGAAGTTCGTGATGTGGCACTTGTGCGCCAACGTCTTTAAAATCGAGCAGCTCGTAGTATTTGTGAAGGTCGGTGAGGCGGGTCGCTGCTTCCTCTCCCGCCGACGTGCTTCCTTCAGCAGCCGAGGTCTGCCGCCGGATAACGTCCTGGGCGCCCTCGAATGGGCCCGCGCAGAAATGGGGCCTCGTGCGCGCCTGCCCCGCGCATCTGCCAAGTCGCGCCTGATTGTGCCGTGGGCGCGGACAACCGCGCAACGAAAATGCCGATGGGCCGAAAGCCCCCCCGAGGGCTTGGCCAACGAGGCCATGGTCACCGCGGACAGCTGCACGGGGACAAGCGCAGCTCGTTCCGTCGCAGCGAGGTCGTCGCGGAGCGCCTCGAGGAGGCCGCCCCCCGGAGAGGCAGAACTGCTCCTCGTGGACGCCGCCGGCCGAATCCGCAGTGCTATCTCCTTGGAGCGGCTGGGCGCGGCTCGACTCCGGTCAGGTGTGATGCGCGGAAGGGGTGGGCTGACCATTCCGTGCGGGGGCTGAGGGGCCCCCGGCGCGCCCCCCCGCAGGCCAGATGCTTTCTTGCTCCTGGCTCGGAGCAGCGAGGGCGGGCAGGCTGCGATGAGGCCGTCGGATGACGGGGGCGTCGTGGGCGTCCAGGGAGCGGCTCCCTTGGGCGCCACCTGGGTGCGCTTGGCCCCTTTTATCCGCGCGATAAAAAGCAGCCAGTCGCGCCGCTCCTGGGACGCCTCGCGACGCGCCTCAACTTCCACTCCGCTGGCTATGCAGGAGCTCTCCAGCCTCGCAGGGCCCGGCGGCAGGACCCCGCCCGTCGGTGTGCGCGGCCCAGGAATCTAAAACTCCGAGGAGTCCTGCATGGTGGGTTGAATGATCCGCGGCGAGGATCCCAGCTGAGGCCGTGGCGGGAGTGCTGAGAGAAACTCGCAACCTACGAGGAGCAACGGCGGTCTGGGGTCTTTCTCGGCGCCCGTGGTGCCCATCGTTCGGGCGAGGAGGAATTGTGCGCGTGCGCCGATCCTGGCAAGGCCCATCCTTGACCCAGGATCGGTGCGTATACCTTCCTGGCCAAGGTAGAGGGCGTATGCAACGATCCTGGGCTCAGGGTGGGCCTGGCCAGAATTGCTGTATGTGCATAGTTCTCTTTCCTCTACATCGTTCCAGATTCCTTGAAGAGACCGAGCAAAGTAGTGCAGCCAGCGGTGCGGGGCAGGCTGCTTCGGCGCACGAGTGTCCTTGTCGAGGATGTCTTGCCATGCGAGCC